TAAGAGGACAGTGAGAGTTGTATTTGTGATTCTAGTTGTCGTCAAAGCGGGTTCGTCATCTCCGGTAACAATATTTGCTATGCCAAGTACCATACTTGGCTGTAAATGTGAAATATCACAGAAAATGAAAAATTATTTGCAATTGGCAGCAGCTGCTCTCTAGATAGCTCTCATCAAAAATACAAACAATTGCTGCTCAAAATGTTAAGCAATCACTGTTATTTTTAAAGAAGTCTAAAAGGTGTGAAACCTCTTCCAACTTTAGGCCATATTTTGCCTTAAACTTCCATTACAAGCACAAAGGTTACAAGACCTTGGAAATCGGAATCGAAAAATAGTGCTATAATAATAATGTAGAAAGTCAGCCAACGAGATGTTCTCAAAGGCTGACGTGAGAGCCCTGTTATATACCTACAATACCAGCCAATTACCTTATTTTAAGCTAGCTTAGAAGGAAGTAAATAACTGAAATATAGTAAATGTGTAACCTTTAACTTTTCAGGAGCTAGAAAGAGTGAGCATTGCCATATTAGGGAAAGCTTATCTTAAGTAAACAATCTTCAAAAGCATAATCTTGTTGCCAGAGCGAAATAATGAGATGGGAAGTTCTTTTATATTAATGAAAAGGGTCAACAATTTGGAATTTTTTCTAAACCCAAAGAAAAGTATAAAAGAATAAGAATAACAGAACACACTTTCCACCTCAACCCCACCTACTCCTCCAACCGCCATCCAAAGCTCCCAAAAGATAGCCAATTTAGTGCTGCTTTTATAAACATATGTACCGGTGAATGCTTTTAAATTTGCGCCAACAACAAATGTGCCCTTTAATAAGCATAATAATTCTTTCTTTTCGGACATCTTTGACATACTTTTTTCCACTTTTCGTTAGCAATGCATTTTTTTCCTTAAACGCACGGCGGTTACGCTCAAATAGACTTAAAAAATTTATGTAGTGCAGCATTGGCATGAAATTGATATGTGAGTGAGGGCGGAAAAAGGTCGATTCGTGACCCTCACACCACACTGCATAACGAAACTTACTAAATAACATGGCAGCGTGGTGGAGAATTGGTCAGCGGTCTGCGTTTGTGCTTATAAAAACAATGGGAGCTGGTCGGTCGTAAACGCCAGGCGAAGCGGATATTAAAAAGAAATAGTGCAAACGGAAATTATCGGTATTAAACGTTATCTGATGGATTGCTTGGCTGGTTAAACGCTCGCAGGCATAAAATTCTAATAAGACATATGCGTAGAAAATAGACAATATAGACAACGTAGTTGAAGTTTCTGGAAGCTAATAAACATTCGGTATATTGAAAATTTGTAGATGAACTATTTAAAACAGAAACGAATATTATGTAGCAATCATAACTACTTAAGGAACATAAGCTTTTTTACTTTTTTTTAGATAATTTAGGGGTTAAGAAGCCCAGGTTCTAATCAATTTCACAAAAAATTTAATTAATTTAAGCTCAAATTCCAAAGAGAAAAAGAAAATTCCATGGACATAAATACTATATACCTGACCATGACTTAGCCAAAAGGATTTAGCATACCGCAGTACTTTATAACCATAAAGATTTTTGTCTTTCCCTAGACAATTAAAGGATTATATCTACAGCATGTCAAAAAATATTTTTTTTCTAGTTTTTCATTAATAAGCATTATAGTATTTAATTTATAAATAACACAGTACAATAGCTAATGTGGGGGGTGAGAAATTCCAAGTCAGGATGATGGTACTAGGTCAGTATAGTAAAACCCTCTAAGGGTTTGGCGTTCGTATGTGTCAGTTTTATCAAAAACCAAAAAAAAATAAAAAAATAATTTTAAGAAAA